GCAGACAGCAGCAAAAGGAAAAAAGCCCTTTAATCTAAAGATCCCGACACAGCTGCTCTCCCGACATGCCGCCTGCTGCCTCTGCCTGGTGGGGAAAGCCATGGCCGGCCACAACCCACCGCAGGCAGAGCTGCCTCCAGCCCAGGAAAGCGTGTGCGTGTGTGTGTGTCCCCCCTCTGCTCCCTCATCCACGCAGGGACACACGTTGCTGCTCACGCCACGTTGCCGCTCACGCCACGCTCTGCTCCCGGCTGCGACTCACAGCGCCAGAAACAGCCGCATTCAGAAGCGGCTGAGAAAGGGACGTCACCAAAAATCCCAGCTCTGAAGCTCCAAGAGAATCAGCACATGTCTCCCAACTCCCCATTCTGGGCTAAAAGAGTGGTTTATTCTATGTTTGGGTGGTTGGGTGTTTTGTTTTTTTTTTTTTTATATAAGACAGCTGTGAGAAAAGGGGCATTATCTCTACAGAGCAGCCCAGTGCTAGGAGCAGCCACCCAGCCCTGTGGAACCTGGGTTTAGTCCCCTTCCCAGCCTGGAGGAACTCAAACCCACATCGAGAAGGGTACGCCGGTTACCAGAACGCACGGTGTTTGCTGGAGGTGCTACCGCCCCTGCTCTTCCTCAAGGAGAGACCTCACCATGAGGGCGAGGAGGAACGTACCATAGAAGCTGTCATCGGGCTTGACCCCCTTTCGCAACACCGTCCCCACGTTCCTTCCCAGCGCCCCACAACAAGGAGTTTGAGGCGTCCCTGAAGGAAGCTTTTTCTCTCTGCACTAATTACAGCCTTTCTCGTGCTGTCTGCTCTTCAGCGCAGCGAAAAAGTTTCAAGGGAAGGGGCGGAGGTGTCCTCACACCAGCTATGCCGCAGCACGGCCCCGTGAGCTCTTGGGTGGTAGAGGTTGGTCAGACACACATTGGGCAAAGAAAGGCCAAAGTCGCACCGCCCAGACCCTCAAGACGAAAAAAGCACTTCACAGCGGAGACCGTGACTGTGTGCTGCCCTTGTGCTCCTCACCAAGACCCCCGGTGGCAACAGGGTCTCCTGCTGATGGGTGCTTGGTTCCCAACGTGTGGCACAAAGATAAAGACATGAGGCTGCGTGGCTTGGAAGTCCAGAGAGACACACCAGGACATCGCTGGCACCATCACATCCAGTGGGATGGGCTCTTCACAGGGAATCTAGATGTCAGTGCCACGTGGCCCTCAACACCCGGAGAGCAGCACCACCACGCCTGGAGCGCCCCGGTACACTCACACCACGAAACAGAAAAACGAAGCGCAACTTGGTTGTGCAAGTTTCCTCGTGAACGCAGGCCACGGGAATCCCAAGTCAGTCATGCATTTTAAATAACAAATTTAGGTTAGAAAAAAAGATTTGATGATATATATATATACTCTGACTAGCTCTGCAGCGCTCTGTGGCTGGCCCTCTCCTGCTCCGGTGCTCCACCACACGCACAGCGGTGCTCCACAAGCCCCTGGAAAACCCCCACACACTCAACCAGAGCCAGGCTGAACGCTGGCGGGAGCTCACCGGGGCTTCCAAATGGGATCGGGAATGATCCTCCCCCACCACACGCTGTGTCCGGAGGAGTTAACACACTGCAACGCACCACGGGCACTCAGGATGGAGAACACACCCCCGAAGAAGAACCTGCTGAGAGAAACCTGCCTTTTAATTAAGCCCGTGTGACAACTCACGTCATTTAAATACAAAACGTCTCCTGCTTTGAGGGAGTGCCGTGTGCCAGAAGCGCTGGGAGCTGGAGCTGGGGAAGGATTTCGCGGCAGCTGCTCTGGAGCTCCACTGAGGAGACGAAACAGGAGTCTGAGGACGTGCAAACTCGTGACAGGGAACAGGACAGGACTGAAGGTTCGTTTATAACAGGCTGAGGACACACCTTTACTCCAAACACACACAGAACCCCAAAAACACCACATCGAACTCAAATTACTGCACACGTTCGTCAGCCGCCCTGACATTGTCCAGCGCAGCCCACTTGGCCTCCTGTGCCTGGGTTGTTTTTTTCCGCTTTTTTACTGGTGAAGCCGCCACGTCTGATCCCGTCCCGATACCACGGCGCAGGTCAGCTTGAGGAGATCGCTGCGTTATCTCACTGCCTTTCCACATTTCCACCAAAACCGAAACTTGGCCTTTTCATTCCTTTGTTTCCCGTCAAGATTGATTAAGCGAGGAAACAGCAGCCGAGCGACCCTCTCTTCCTCTTTCAGACAAATCCCATTTTTTAAAAGGAGCGCTGACAAAAATGTCCCAAACACTACCAGTTTCCTCCCGGGCGGCGCCACCGACCACGGCCACGCTGGGAAATCCCCGGTGCCCTCCTGAGGCGGGAGCAGAGGGGCCACGAGGAAAACCGACCCCAACCTCTCCGAAGCCGAGAGG